CCATTACAAAAGTAAACAAGGAGCTTAGATCTTATTCAATAAGCAAGTGTGCACAAATGACTGCCGTTTGTAGGGTTTATGTTACTTTATGACATATTTAATGTGAAATTAAATTCTAAAACTTTTATTTTACAAAAATGTAGCTTTATTAGTGTGAGATTCTATGATTTACACAGAGATTTATTTTTCTTGGTAAATAATTTTAAATACCTTCCAAAAATAATTTCATGTTCTACTGAACCACAGCTATTTGTTATATCAGTGAAAGTGAAATAACAGACATTATTTGTTTTTCTGCAGCTATAGTCACTTTATAATTACACACCTTTTAGGTTAATAAAATAACGGTGATAATGATTGAGATTGGATGATATGAAAAATTAGTCATGCTCATTTTTTTGCCATACTGCCCAGCTGCTCAGCCCTTCCTGAACATTTAAATTCTTTGTTTCRGTCTTCATCGGGACTTAAAAGGTCACATCTTATGTTTTAAGAAACAAGATGAGAAACATTTAAATCTCTGAAAACTCCCTATCAGCACAAACAGCTCGTGTTTTGTAGAGGATCTGTCGCTGCATCAGGCCACATTTCCCCAGCCTCCAGAGATGGACCTGACTGATCCACGTCTGAAGCTTTTATTTTCAGCTCCTTCTTTAAGGCCAGACAGAGATAAAAACACACTGTTCTCTAAAGCAACAAGATATTTGACCATTATCAAAAACCTTTTTAATGAAATAACATTAAAATGATTTTTGGAAACAACCATAATAAAAAAAGAAAGTGGTGTTAACATCCTTACCTCTTTAATGGCAGACATCTTGATACTTTCGTAGTAGTGCAGAGGTGCGTGAGGTGCTGACATGTCGTAGCCAAAACCAGCCACTGCCACCTCGTCACAGTTGTGCAGTGCCATGGTTATAGCAACTGTTCCTAAAGTTGGAATGTTCTGCAACACAGACATCAAATAAAGAGATAAATCACGGAATAAATCATCCTGGATATAAATCTGGATTATACTTGGGACAAGTATTTGGGAGGAAAACCTTTTGTTTGTTTGTTTGTTTGTTTAAGAGAAATCCTGACAGACAGAAGTCGTCTCAGCTGGAGGACACCAATGTGAGCAAAGAGAGTTGAAGCTCATGTAAATAACTTTTTGTTTTTCAATAAAATTCATATTGCAGCCTAAAATGTATATTAACTACGCACACTGAGAGTATTTAGGTGTCAACAGCAGGTGAAAGTGTTTGAGACTTTTATTATGAAGGACTGAAAGACGTGTGAGTTCAGCTGCAGTGGGAGTCATAAACCCTACATCCAATGAAAATATTACATGTTAGTTTGTAGTAAACCCAGTAAAAGTGACTCATAACCCTCAGATACAGAACAAACAGTCTGCTTCAGGAGAACATTGGCGTTCACTTTGTCAGGACAAATAATCCTTTTTTCCCCTATAAAACATGCAGCAGAACGCCCGCGTGCCGTTCTAAGTTTCTTCTTATTTTAACCGTCATTCTCCATTTCTCAGCAACCTATCTCCATGTTCAATGCTTCAAAATGGTTGTCAAAGCYGTCCTCTTTTGATTGACACCTCATTTGACCAACTGGGTTCATCTATCGGCTAGGGCTGCAACGATACAGAAAATTTACGGTTCGGTTCGATACTTTAGTCTCACGGTTTGATATTTTTTCGATACAAAAAGAGAAATGTCCATGCCCCTTTTAACTTGTAATTTCTTTAAATTAATTATGAACATTTGTTTTAACCTCAAAAGTACAGTTTTTAAATTAAATGTTGCTGAAACAGCAAGTTTCTCAGTGGATCTGTGCTCCACAATGCAGCCTAGGTGGAGTAGTCGAACACAGATCCACTGATCCTTCAACACAGAGCATCTTCAGAAGACAAGTTGATAAAGTAAATTGTTAAAATCTGTATTGTTCGATATGGTTCGATACAGGTACATGTATTGTTGCACCCCTACTATCGGCCCTCCAGAGCCAGTAATATATGAGAAGTGACCAACTTCCGGTTTCCGTCATCCTGGACTTGATTGACTGTAGAATCGTCCAATYAGCTCCGAGCTTCGTTCTGATGCCACAGCTGTGTAGCCAATCACCGTACCTTTCATTTGATGTATATATTGATGGGGTGGGAACTTTGTTTGGTGAAGCACAAGCCAAACACGGAGATGGTCGCCATTTTTACGCAGATACCTGCATTCAGTGGACAAAGCTACGCTCACAGGAAAACGTTTTTTTTCCATCGTTTTTTTGTCCAGTTAGCTGACTAAACCTGCTGATAAGATGAAAATATATTTGTTATAAAGTGTTTCGAGTGCTTCAAGACATGGAAGAGGGGTTTTTGTGGCCAGGAGGAGTAAAAAAAATGTTGGATAAAAAGACTTCCGGTCGGCCATTTTGAATTGTTAATTTTGTCATATTTGAGGACAAATATGCAACAAATGTGAGTGAAAAACAAATATTTTTTCACTGCTGGTGGTTTTATAAGCTGTGTGGAATGTTAATGCTTTGAAAGAAATAAGGATATATTTGTCTATTCTTGTTTTGGCTGTTTGGTGGTGGAAATTGGCTGAATGTACTCCAGTTGGTGTAAATATTTCAGAATATTAATTTTTTTAATTTAATCATGCTGTGAGTAAATATAGATGGTAGAATGTATTTTGTGGGGTTTTATCTTTAATTTGAGCCCAGAGTGAAGTCTCTGTGTGAAGCATTTATAAATTACAGTGTTTTAGACTAATTGTACAGTCTGGACATATTGTACAAGTGTACAAATATGCAAATGAGACATGTTGGATTGTACTATGTCTCAAATATTCATATTTTATGCTACTGTTACCAAATTTGAACTGGTAATAGCTGGGAATTAATATTTTAGTCCAGTAAAAATCCTTTCTTAATATCTCATTCCCTTCATATTCTGTGATACTTTTTAAATAAAAAATAAAAATTTAGGGAGAAAATATCTTGATTTTTGTGTATTTTTACTTCAATATACTAAATACTAGTTACAGTTACAAAGAATATGACTGCTGAAGTTAAAAATTCAGATTATTAGCTTTAAAAATAGACCAAGCTTGTGAATTTACTCTTAAGGGTTCAAAAGCAGTACTTCATTTAATTTGTGTACTTTTAAAGGCATTTTATGGTATTTTATGCCCGAATGTACTGACTTTTTTCTATAATGATTATTTTGACTTTTTTTAAACAATATAGTTTCTTTAAATGTTTAGCCTCTTGTAAAAAGCAGGCAAAAGCATTTGTTGTAAATAAATTCAAATGCTCTCTTGTAAAATTTAATAAAATTTTATTTGTAAATAATATTGAGATTTTTTAGAAACAACATTTAGATTTTAATCTCYGTTTAAAGTGTAAAACAGGATCTTCCTGGAGGTTTTTCTTTCTGTGGTTGTACAACAACGTGATCAAAAGCTCAACACCTTTGTTTCAGTTCAAGTTTGAATTCTGTCACAAACTTTACTCAAACGAGTCCATAAATCCTGCGAAGCAACAAACCGTAACAACCACAGACCACATCTGCTGCACTGACAGTGCAGCTGCAACCATTGCATCTTCAATTACAATTATGGCTTACAACGATTACAAAAACAAGTTTTGTCTTGTGATTTGATTCYAGAAAATGCTTTAAATGTTTCAGCAGTGCGTCTTTAGCTCTCACTCCTAATTCAAAGCAGAAAAGTAGAAAAGAGCTGCTGGTCCTTTAGAATCAGAACCTGACGAAGAACAGAAAAGACCAATAAAGCCTCACGTTTCTAGTGTTTCCATAATGAGTAAAGTAATCATGACACGTTTGCCATAATCAGGCAGTGAAAACATGCATGGGTTCCTCCTGTATTCTGGCTTTGTTCTGCTGGTGGGCTGCTAACTGACTCTGAGAGCCTGCTGATTAACTGTTACCTCTAAGATGAGACCCCTGCAGACTCCACAGCAGCACAGTCATCCACCGGGCTGAACCGTGCTTCCTAAACGCCCTGGGCTGCTACAAATCTGAGGTGTACAGAGGCTTTGTGTGTGATTGCGTGTGTGGTTGTTGCAGGAAAAAAAAAAGAAAATAAGGCGGTGCTGGGAAAAGAAAATGCAGGTGGAGCGGCGAGTGTCGAAGGAGGCCCCATTTAAATCATTAGCCTGATTTGAAGCCCTCAGGGTAAGTGGAGCCGGACCAGCAGCTGGCCAGCCTCCTACTGCGTGTTCCAGTGCAGATGACTTTACACACAAGCCCCCGTGCACACTCAACATAAACACTAGTTTAACAAACAGAGCTCCTCATTAATTTCCATACACATAAACACACACTACAGGGGTCAGAGAGAAACACTCGAGTGGTCAACGGAAGGGATGTGCCAAATCCTGCTGCTCCATAGCCTGTATTGTATGACACAGCAACACAAACATAAAGCTCTGTGTGACACACACACACATGTTCAACACATGTTGCAGACTGGAGTTCATGCAGGGAAGTAGTGGTGGCCCCAGAGGGCAGATCTCTCCTCCTGCTCCCCCTAATCTTCCCCTCCTGCTCTCAAAACACACAATAAGAGTGAACATGTACAAATGTTAACACACACTGTACATCGTTTCTTAGAAAACTAATTCTTTTCAACATTTGTCAAACAACTTAAAGTCCTAGCGGTTCTTGAAAGAATGCACGTCACTTTTCATGTTAAAGATTTAGACCAAGATGAAAACGACCCTTATAGCGTGGAAAACCGACCTGCAGCCATAACATGGATTACATATGACTCAGACTTCACAACAAACAAACTGGATGCCAGGTTTGGGCCTGGACATCCAGAGGACTCACTGCTCTGTGCACAATAATGAACAACAAAATCCTCAGTGATTTTGAAACGCTCAGGAGAAAATATTCTCAGGACAAACAGGACTTTTATCAATATTTACAATTAAGAAATTTTGTCAATTTAAAAGTTAAACCAACTAATGACAAGAATACAAATCTAACAGAAATTTTCATTAATGCCTATAAATCAAAAATTAAAGGGAAAATTATTTCACTTATTTATAAAAACCTAATAGATCTTAAAAACGACTCAACCCTACATCTCAAAGCACGATGGGAAAGAGAGAGCAGTTTAATAATAACAGAGGAGGAACGGGCAGTAATGTGGAGAAACAATGGACACATAATAAATCATTACAGTATCAAGAATTAGGATGGAAAAATCTGGTGAGATTTTTTTATCACACCTGCTCAGAAATGCCACTGTGATGAAAATGTGGAAATCAAAATGCAAACCATTATCATGTCTTCTGGGACTGTCCCATTATAAAAGATTACTGGAAAGAGATAAACGGAGCCTTACAAGACATTTTCAAGCAGAGCATTCCTTTGGAGGTCAAGTTTATGTATTTTGGCATAATTCCTCCAGCAGCTTCAAAAAGAAACAAATATCTGATGACTTTTATTAACAGCAAGTAAGAAAAACATTACAAGAAAATGGTTATTACAAGACAAACCAACTTTAGATGACTGGATCGACATAACATTTATAAAATGGAAAAATAACAGCCTCTCTCAATCACAGGCCTGAATAATTCAGTCAGTGGTGGCAGATCTGGGTAGATTATGTAAAACCTAAAAGATCTCATCTCATTTTTAGAGACTAAGCTTGAAGAAATCTCCTCGACAATCCACTCCCCCTAAGATAACCATACATAATAATTATTTTATATTATGTTTTTTTGTTGATGTACTTAATTTTTTTCTTTTGTAATCTTTTTACACTTAATCTTTTCCTTTGTTTATTCTATCACACTTTCTTTTATTACCTACTTTAAAATCTCTCTTAGAAAAGGAAAGTTGCATTTTTATCTGACTGTTACAATGCAAAGATCTACCTGTCCCCCTTGTTTAAATATTAAAGTTAATTGTGGAATGTAGAGATCTAA